TGGTGTCCATCATCAGCTAGCGAGGGGGGTGGTATTCATCGTCACCAGCTAGAGAGGGAGGGGGGTGCTATCCATCGTCATCAGCTAGAGGGGAAAAAAAAAACGTTGGAAAATTCCCCGGCTCTCTTGCTGCTGCTGATGTTTGAACAGGACGCTTCCTCCGCCACCGCTTAGATAACAGCAACAGCAGCAGCAGCAGAGGCGACACACCCTCTCGCCCACAATGAGTGTAGAGAGGTGCACAGCACAGCAGTGGTACTACATCGTCTAGGAACGAGCGTGATGTGTTACTGGTCCCGTGCTGTGATGTATGTGTGCCTCTCTCCAGAGCAGAGGCAGAGGCCGCTCCCTCCCGCCGCGTCGCAACACAATAACAACAACCAACCGATGGACCCACAGAGACCCAATCAATATCTCTCCTCTCGCTTCCTCCGCCGAAAGCTAGCAGCAGCAGTAGTATAGGGCACACCCTGCTCCCGTCCCGCTCTCGCTGTGTGGTGTGTGCAACACACGCTGGTTGGTGGGACTCCCTCTCTCTCCAGAGAAGAAAAGGCGAACAAAAGGCCGGCAGCGTTGAACAACAACAAACAACGGAGACAACAGCAACAACATCATCAGCGATGAATGAACCCCAGACCAACCAAACGTTCCCCGCTTCCTCCGCCGTCGCCAACAGCAGTATGTGTGTGTGTCCCGCCCCCCTTGTCCATGTTCCCTGTCTCTGTGTAGTGCGTGTCTTGCCAGTAGCAGCAGCAATGTGTGCAGCACGGCAGTGCGTCGTGGTTTCTTGCGTGCGTGTAGCTTGTTGCCCAGAGAAAAACAAAAATGACGACGCCTCCCGGGGATGCGTCCATGTGACATATATATTTGCACAAACGGTGTGCTATCTCGAGACACCGACCACGGATTGCAAAGGTAGCGGTTGGGACAGCTCGGGCAAAACTTGTTGTTGTGCGCAAGTTTTAGTTTGCAATTTGGTGCCGAGATGGTGAAATGGGCTCGAGTCTGCTGGGTATTTAGGGCGCGCAGACAGACAGACAGACACCAGACAGACAGCCATGGAGTAATTTTCACGCCCCTGGGCATGAAAATTATTCTTTTTCTCGTGCGCACAGACTCCACACACGATCCCTCTAAACAGCTTTTTTCTTGCGAAACAAAACAAAAAGCGTACCCCTAAACGGGCCACACTTTTTCGAAAAAATAACTATTATTATCATTATTACCATTCCTCAAAGCTAGACGACAACGGAATGCCACACAATCCTCAGCATCTAATCGTGCCATGAGCTTCATCATGGCTCAACCTACGCGATTAGTTACGGAGATGAGCATGGTATACCGGACAGGCAACGTCGAGTTTTGTGGACTGCGTTCGCATGCCGATCAAACACACAAGATATATGTCCTTTGTGTTGCCTTGGGCCTCTGTGCTGTGTTTCTGTGTTTCTTTTTTTCATGACCTCCCTACCTACTCTGCTGTGTTGGGTGCCGTGATCTTGCTTTGCTGTTGCCTTTGTTCTTGTACGTCTGGCTGTCTGCCCATCTGCCGCCTCATTGTCCTGTCTGCTCCGTTACTCCCATGCCCTGGTGCGTAGTGCCTAATGCTGGTACGTTACCGTTTGATTTTTTCTTTGGGCGGGTGTTGGAAGCGCCCTCCTGTATTTTTTATTTGTTGTTTAATTTTGATCGGTTTCCGAGGGCTCTTTTATCGAACGGTCGATGCGATACCTGTTCTTTTCTTTCTATCATATTGTTTTCTTGTTCCGAGTGGTTTGTACCCTATTTTTGTTTTGTTTCCCCGCGGCGTCGTATGTGCCGGGTTTTGAGACCACGGGCTCCCCATTTTTCGTGGACTAAGGAGCTGATGTGAGAATGATGTGAGAAACAACAACAACAACAACAACAACAAACAACGAGCGAACGGCAAAACATACAATGTAATAAACCAGAAAAACTTCCCCTTTGTACTTTCGTCAGTCGCATCATCAAAAATCGGCCTAAAGGAGAATGCCGACGAGCCGAATTGCACGCAAGGCACGAAAGGGGAGGGGCGTTGATGCACCGATGGGAAAGCAGATCTAGGTAACTTCAGAGTGCTTTGAATGCGACGTCCAACTCGACATCACCTACTCCAACTTCAATCGCGGTGACTGCAGTCTCAGTTCTCGATGGGCAGTTTTTCGCGTTGTGCCCCTTTTTCCCGCACCTCTGGCAAAGCCTCTCTGGGCATGCCTCGCATAGTGGTCCCCATCACAGACGTAGCACTTGACTCTCTTATCGCTGGCCAAATTTGCCTCTTCGTCACCTCTGCCTACTGCTACGAACGCATGATGATTCGCTCGCCGATCACTCTTGCCCCTCTTTTCCTCCGATTTCAATTGCCCAGCCCGTGTGCGTAGCACTCTCAATACTTCTTCCTCATCGAGTGTTTTCTGGGCGAGCAGCTGTTGCTGTTGAATCTCAAATTCCGGGGAAAGCGCATCGTGGAACCGTGCATATACGAGCATTTTGGGGATGGGCTGGTCAAATGCCAACTCTATGTTGGTCACTACGGACTTCAACTCCTGGAAAAAAAACGGGGGTCCTGGTTGGGCGTTGTAAAACTTACCGATCAGCGAGATCTGCTAGCCGCCGGCTAACGGGGTAAATGTTTTTTCCAACGCACGCCCCGCTGCAGAGGGCCCCGGCCACCAGATCAAAGCCCTCCGCCCCCACGGGTCATCCTGCTGATTGAACTGTCACTACAATCAACACAGCAGGCACAAAGTTGTAACCCTACGCATCTACAACTCTTATGCATTTGCAATACCCCTTTTCAAGTGGTCCCCTCCCAGCACTCGGCTTGGGGCCAATCAACACTAGAGTTCTTTTGTGACGTTAACGCCATAGTCTCGTGTGGGAGACACACAATATGTCTGCGAAAGACTCTGGGATTTCTGGCGGGGGCGAGACCGGCCCGACTCACGAGGAGCTGAAGGCGACCATCGACGACGCCGTGGGCGACGCCAGTACCAGACTGGAGAAGATGGTGACGGAGAAAATGGAAGGCATCATGGACACCTTGTCCCGGTTAGTGCCCGGGGCACCGCCCGCCGGAAGTGCGACCGCAGCGGGCGGCGGAGGGGAGTCACTGGGGAGGCCGCACGCCTTCCCTGGCGCGGGTCAGCTGGACCAAGCGCCGAATACCGAACGAGGGCTCGAGGGAGCGAGAGGACTGCGAGGCCCGGAACCACGAGAGCCTTCGCCACCCGAGGGGGCTATCTCGCGAGAAGAGTCAGCAGAGAGGAGCAACCTTTACGGTATGCTTTCAGCTCGCATGCCCGGATACCACGCCTGAAACAGTTGGACTTCGATGGAGACGAAAATAACTGGCTCATGTTTCGAAACGATTCAATTACGCAGGTGCAGACTTGTGGAATGGGTCGTGCCTTGAGTGACAGCAGGAACATTGTGGCCTAGGCGTAGACGATGATGGCATGGTAGAGCAGGGAGTGAAAGCAGGGTAGATAGCCATGTACCGAGATCTGCTCGCCGCCGGGTAATGGGGTAAATGTTTCTTCCAACGCACGCCACGCTGCCGAGGGCCCCTTGCGATCGTAAACCGGCATTTTTGTGGAATTGTTGGAGATCGCTCCGCTCAGCATCCCACACAGATCCCGGTACATGGCTATCTCCCCTGCTTTCACTCCCTGCTCTACCATGCCATCATCGTCTACGCCTAGGACCACAATGTTCCTGCTGTCACTCAAGGCACGACCCATTCCACAAGTCTGCACCTGCGTAATTGAATCGTTTCGAAACATGAGCCAGTTATTTTCGTCTCCATCGAAGTCCAACTGTTTCAGGCGTGGTATCCGGGCATGCGAGCTGAAAGCATACCGTAAAGGTTGCTCCTCTCTGCTGACTCTTCTCGCGAGATAGCCCCCTCGGGTGGCGAAGGCTCTCGTGGTTCCGGGCCTCGCAGTCCTCTCGCTCCCTCGAGCCCTCGTTCGGTATTCGGCGCTTGGTCCAGCTGACCCGCGCCAGGGAAGGCGTGCGGCCTCCCCAGTGACTCCCCCCCGCCGCCCGCTGCGGTCGCACTTCCGGCGAGCGGTGCCCCGGGCACTAACCGGGACAAGGTGTCCATGATGCCTTCCATTTCTCCGTCGCCATCTTCTCCAGTCTGGTACTGGCGTCGCCCACGGCGTCGTCGATGGTCGCCTTCAGCTCCTCGTGAGTCGGGCCGGTCTCGCCCCCGCCAGAAATCCCAGAGTCTTTCGCAGACATATTGTGTGTCTCCCGCACCAGTCTAGACTATGGCGATATCGCCACAACAGAACTCTAGAGTGTTGATTGGCCCCAAGCCGAGTGCTGCTCGATGAGCATGATTGTCCCGGTCGACAATGTGAGGAGATGGTGAAGTCGTTTTATTGGTCGTCCTCGTAGACACAAGCAACGAAAGAGAGTGGGCACCAGGGTGCATCACAAACACCGAGGCAGGCGAGCAACAGTCGCAAGACATATCCGGAACTCGGAACACATGGCAGGACGGAACGCGTGACAACTTGCCAAAGATACCACTACCGGAGATACTCCGAAGATCCAAATGACCGATGGACGGCCACGTACTTGCACACTGATGAAGCTCAAAACCACACATGAGTACTACCGCAGTAGCCTTCGTCGGGATGGCACAATCCACCTCACGATCATGTACCTCTGTAGACGCAACAGCTGTCTCCACCCATAGCCCACGAGGGCTGCCCACGACAAACGGTGGGCACAAACAGGGTCATAGAAGGATTAATGTGTGGCCGCGGTGCTGCCGGTAAGGCAGGTAAGGCTTGTAGACCTCGAGAAGACCAGTTGTCAATCCGCCAAAACTTCTCTAATTTCAGTATATTCAAATGATCAGCTAAAATGATCAGTGAAAGGGCTCGTAGACTCATAGCTGGTTCTGACCCATAGCTGGGTTGTACTTCTTCTGAACTTCTCTGTCCCCTTCACAATGCTCTCCCCGGCCTGCCCCCTCCGTCCCTGGGGTAGACCGAGGTTCCGCAAGTGGATCTAGACCTCGAAAGACCACCCAGTAAAGACGAATATTCGGTCCCTAGTACTGTGAGAGGGGGATCCTGAGCCGGTTGGGAGTTACTGCTGTCGTGAGATCGGGGTAGCTCGTGAGCCGCTAGCTTTGGTAGCTGCAATATGAAACTGGATCCTGACGCCCCGGCTTGGACACCGGGGCTATGCAGCAGCAGAGAGCACGGTGAGGGTGGCGGAGTGACCGCACGCCGTGGGGGTATGCCCCAGAGAGAGGAAAGGAGAGAATCCAGAGATGGAGGGCCACACCGCTTCGGGATAAGAAGACAACTCTATGGGAAACAAGGCAAGAACCGGGGTAAACTATCACGTTAGCCCGAGTGTTCGCACGAAAATAATGGCAATAAACCAAAAATAGAGGGGAAGATGGAGGAAAAGGAGGGGTCGGGCGGCGCGAAGGCTAGCTACGAGAGCAGCGCGCGCAGCGCGAAAGAGACAGCAGGGTCAACTTGTTAGGGTCGCAACCTGGAATGTGCGGACTTTGGCTGTAAACGGGGCTAACGGATACGGGCGAGCCTACAGCGTTCTGCACAAGGCAGCGAGACAAGGCGCATCGGTGGAATGAATGCAGGAGACACGGAGGGCAGGTCGAACGGAATTTGCAGCAGCGGGTTTCCGGGTGTTCTGCTGTGGCACGAAGACTGGTGGAGTCCAATATGTGGGGAAGAGTCGCTGTGCAAGACATCCACGTTCACTACGGAGTTTATCGACGAACGCCTTATGGCCATGAGGTTTCTGTTGGCAGGCCACCGTGGAGTGGTCAACTTCGTAGCCGCGTATGCCCCAACCGAACCTTACGCGTGTTCTGGGGAAAACTTGACATCTCGTGCGGAGGATCCCTTCCAAAGCATGTGTGTATGTCCTACTGGACGCCAACGCGCGGACGGTAGATAGGTTGGACGGAGGGGACGGAAGGGTAATAGGAATGTACGGGCGTGATGAGCTCAACGACAATGGCATGCTACTGTTGAATTTCGCAACGGAGAACAGGCTAGCTCTCACGAACACGTTCTTTGAGACACGCAAGGGCGGAATATGGCACACATACAACGGTGTGTCGGGAAACGATTGCAAGCGCCTTGACTATATCCTAACAAGGCAGGCACATCACGGCCGAGTGTCTAACGTGGTCGTCATCCCCCTGCCGGTTCGCCCAGTCAAAGCAGACTCAGGCCACAATATGGTAGTAGCCACCGTCAACCTCGGTGGCAGGCTTGCCCACAACCGTGCAGTCTGGACTAAACCGAAACAGAAGCAATTAAACCGCCGGGAATTGCGGTTCGAAGCAGCACGGTTTGCGGTGACTAATCGGTTCATCGTCAACCTCGACACACGACTGGACGAGCGAACATTCACCGCCGCGGAATTGGCGACCGACTTTACCAATGCTCTCCTCGAAGCAGCGTGGACGACCCTGGGGGAGGAACCGGGGAGACGCCACGCAGGGGTGGTATGAGGCCCCAGAGACGCGAGCAGTGCTGAAGCAGGCCTTTAACCAAACGTCGGGAAGCGCACCGGGCGATGAGGGGCGACTGGAACTCAGCAACGTGGAGGGTTCTCAAAGCAGCGTGTAAGGGAGTGGCTACAGCATTCGAAACGGGCATTAATGCCCACCTGGACGGATATGTGACTGTTTTCGAAGCAATCTACGAAGATCGCGACATGCGAGGACTGTACCAACACCTCAAGAGATCACCGGGCCTCAGCGGGAGACAAGCGGTGGGACAGCAGTTCGTCGCGGATGAGAACGGCGTGTTGCTCCGGAACAGGGACGACATCCTCCAGCGGTGGGCGAGATTCTTCAGCACCCTACTCAACACCAAATCCCCCACCCTGAACCCAGACATCATCGAACGAGTAACGCAGCGGCCAGCGACACGTGACACTCAATGGTTGGGACATACATGTGCCAGAACTCGAGGAGGTGGCACGGGCAACGAAAGGCCTCAAGAACTGGAAGGCACCCGGCCATGACTCCCTCCTTGCCGAGTTGCTCAAGATCGATGACGACGAACCCTTCGTCCTGAGACACCTCCATACCATCCTCGTCAAGGTGTAGAGCGGAGGAGATATTCCGCGAGAGTTGGAGGATGCAACCATCAAGGTGCTGTACAAGAAGGGTGACCGGTCCAACTGTAACAACTACAGGGGGATTTCGCTACTGTCTCACGTAGGCAAGGTCCCCATCAAGATCATCACCAACCGTCTAAGCGCCTTCTGCGAAGCCAGCAACATCCTCCCGGAGGAACAGTTCGAATTTCGATCCGGGTGATTCACTGTCGACATGCTGTCGACATGCTGTTCGTCGTGCGCCGCCTCGAGGAGCTGGGGCGGAGAAAGAAAACACCGCTCTTCATATGCTTCGTCGACTTGAAGAAGGCGAATGATTCGGTGGACTGAGAGATGCTATGGTAGGTGCTGGCCAGGGCCGGGATTCCGCGAAGCTGATCGAAGTCATCCGCCAATTCCACGATGGAATGCGGGCCCGCGTGCACATGGACGACGGAGAACTATCGGACTGGTTCTTCGTGACACAGGGCGTGCGACAAGGATATGTTCTATCCCCGCTGCTGTTCAACATCTTCTTCGCCGAGGTCCTCGAGGTTGTTGTCATCCGATTCAGCGAGGATGATGTTGTTCTGCGGAGCCTGGTGTGNCGTGCACATGGACGACGGAGAACTATCGGACTGGTTCTTCGTGACACAGGGCGTGCGACAAGGATGTGTGCTATCCCCACTGCTGTTCAACATCTTCTTCGCCGAGGTCCTCGAGGTCGTTGT